GACTTTAGCACTGGAAGGTATTTGTAACCTTAACTTGAGTATTAGAAACTCATGGGAACCAGCTTCAGTTCCCTTTAACCTACCTGAAGCCTCTAAAGTTCAGTTACCTGCACATTGTACCTTGTTCATTTCCTCTCTACAAAACAGAGAGTTTAAACATTCAATTGACATTTTAGAAGAAGCTACACTACATTTCTATTAAGGTTAGTGTGTTCGGGTTTTCTGTCAACCTCACTGTGACAACATGACTCTGAATGTCAGTTTGTTTGTCAATAATAACAACATAATGTGTTTATTGGTGGGTTTGAGATGTTTATCTTGCAGTTGGGGAAGAACCAGGCAAGCTGACTGCCCTTAGCTAGCTTAAGCTAAGCTAACTGCTCTCAGTACTTTAGCTTTTAGGCTACTAACTCAATGATACGGGAAGACGGCTTTTTGTTTTTCTGCACCTTAAAATGGAATGACCCTGCAATCAAAGAAAAACAAAAGACAATCCAACTTTGTCTTGTAATATTGAAAGTTATCACTTTCATATTTTAATAAGACTTCAAGGAATTTAAAACAAGTTCATTCAGTAATTTTCTTCTTAACCCTTTGACTTGCATTGTAACCACGCGGTTGACCTTTTTTCCGCTGCCATATTGCTGTATTTAAAACTCTGAAAACCTGTCTTTGGCTGTTTATCCTCATTCACCTCATTGAATAGAGTATGCTACCCTGATTATGTCCAATGGTTGGCGCCGCTGTACATAATTATCATTGTCTTTAAACTGTGGAAAATACCGGGAGTGACTTGGCGCTGCAAGAGCAAACGTCCGGGTAAAAGAAAAAAAATATTTTCACATATCATTTATAGACCCTCTAACAATCATATTTTAGTTGAAGGAAGGACATTTGACAAAAAAATATCTACGATTCCTCAGAAAACATGGTCAACCGCTCGGTTGAGTTGCCAGTCTACGCAAACGGCCTGGCTCAAGTCACTCATTTCTTATTTTGTTCACGTTTTCTAACCATTGCTACTCATTCAATTTGTTAAATTAATTATAGGTTATTTTAACAAGTTCTACTCTCTGTGATGTTCATATATGAAAAAACTAAACATTTTGTTGCAGAAATTAAAGAAATCCATTCATGCCCAAAGTAACCCTAAACAGGCAAATCAACCAGCTGGTTGACCTGCATATCTGCTTCCTGATTGGGTAATCTGAAAAATATAACCTGAAATGTTGCTTAATGAAGAGGCAGGAACACAATTTTACCAACAAACAATTTTTTGCAAATGCATTTCTTAGTGTGGAAGTCAAAGGGTTAATAGTCCTGTAATGAGGAAACATTTACCAAAGTGTATACAACATTGAACAAGTAATAAATAGATGTGATGCTTTATAAAGTAGTAATACACCTTAATGTAAATTAAACAAATAATAAAAATGCAGAAAGTTGTCTCCTTTAAGTCCTACAATAATTTTATTTCTAAAAAGGAGGAATACAGTTGTTGGGATTTTTTTTTTTAAGTAAATTTGTTTCTCCCCTCAGCTCGACCCAGCCTCAGGGGAGGGTAAGCTGCCCCACCAGAGCTGGCCTTTAAAAACATACCAGGCCCTCTATAATAATAGAGCAGATAAAAACAGTCAGTCCCTCTCTGATTATAGAAGCTCTCAGATGGCTCGGCTCCCAGAGGCTGTTGAAGCATGTTTGATACAAAGTGGAATTGACTTCCTGACTGAATCTGTTGTTAAATGAGCTTAGGAGTGTGTGTATGTGTATGTGTATGTGTATGTGTGTGTGCGTGTGTGGCCATTGCCCAACTCTGTCCAGTCTCACATCCACCCTGGCAGTACGTAGCCGACAGTCTCTTATCTAAATGTTATCCTTGCACCCTTCAGAATAAACAATGGTTGGAGCTGACTTCAAAGAGGAACTGAGATTACGCTTGACCTGCTGGAATAATGAACTCTGAGATGTGAAGAGCAGAGGGAGGGCGCCCCTTCATCTCAATACATTCTCTTTAATGATGAAACAGCTTTTCATCAAGATCATTAGAAGCACTTGTAATAATTGCTCATTTTTTCAACATTACACTTTGCAGCATGTGTGTGTGCTCCTTAGGCAGTGTGTAGTGGCATAAACCGGTGGGTGTGTCAGACTGATAGCTCCTTAAAGAGACAGTCCATCTTTAAAACAGAGAAACAAAGAGACTGCCATGCATGAACAGAAACACTGTATTGAAAGAGATTAATTGGGTGGCCAGAAACACAAGTCTAAATTAGTGATATGTTATTCCATTGCCAATGTATGTTACCAAATTAACCTACATTTCTCCTCCTGGCATCAGTTGAAGCCTAAACACTCATCTCTTCGTCCAAATAGCACTAACTGTGGTAAAACACTGCAAGTGTTGTGTTTACTAATTGTTTCTGCTGTTCTTATAGATGACATAAAAACACTTAAAGGATAGGGCAAACCATCATTTTATTTTTTCCTCTTATTTCCGGAACCTTCACAAATACCTTTTTTTTAAATAAAAAAATATTATATAAAATGCTTAAAACAAAAGTTTTAGCAGCTAAAAGAGTATTTATTTGCATGAAATGAAAACCATCAATTCTCCTTTTACAGTTATGCTCCATATTTTCAGATCCTTCTTTTCTTGTTTACATTTTCAAAGGTCACATATTATGCAAAACACACTATGATATGTGTGCTGAGTCAGTCTACAAACCCCCCAATCATGTCTTTTACCTGCTCCACTTTTTTAAAAATCGTGTGCTTAAACAGGCCGTTTGCAGATTTTCCCTTTGTGACATCACTAAGGGCAGCAACCCCTCCCCCAGGTTGGGGACACTCCCACAGCTAGTTGTTTGTTCTGCCCTCTGAGTCTGCCTTCTCACCATAAACAATAGGGCATGGTGCATGAAAGCCCAAACAGCCCTTCCAGAGAGGGGCGTGGGCAAACCCATCTCATTTGCATTTAAAGCTACGGACACAGAAACAGCCTGTTCTGATCAGGTTGGAAATATCGGGGTTTATTGGCATGCTAACATACAGGATCAGAGTGGACTTTTAGCAAGAAACTTCCCAGACATGTTTGTGACCACTGAGACTTATTTAAAGTTGTTGAAAAGGAGCTTAATATGTAACCTGTCTCCTTTGAAATAACCCACACTTGCCACATGACCTCAGATTTAATTTGCACTCTATACCTGAAGACAATAACTTGAAATCACATTAGAATTACCTTCCTGACATGACCTGTTTGAATCATGGTTTCCTTTCTGTGTGTCTTCATGTGCTTTCATTCACTGCTGCTTGTCAGAGCACAGCGACACACTCTTTAGGAAGGAAGCAAGTTGTTAGTAGAGAGCCTCTTTTATGGCATTACCCACTTAATTTACAGCTCCAGCTTTCAAAAACAAAGCTCCATCCATTCCTCGCTCTTGTCAAATTCTGCAGCTCGCTGAGGCATTCTTGAAAACAGGAAGACACTCTAAGAGTTGCAGTTTAGAGGGTTCATGACATCAGCCCTCCAGATTGGACTATTGTCCCTGTTTGGATTTAAGAGACAGCTTTATGTGCTGCTCTGACTCTTTTTGTTTGCATTTGGAGCAAAACTATGACACCAAATGTTCTCACTGTCAAACATACAGAAACTATTCGTCATGACAGATTTATAAATACAGGAGTGTGTGAGACTGTGTTTCAGTTCAATCCTCAGCTCCCAGGACCTTCAGTGTCAACAGCACCCTGATGTTAAAGGTCATGTCTGTCCAGTCCTGTCCTGTCCTGTCCTGCCTGTTTCCATAGTGACAGAAAGACAATCAATACAGAGTGACCTGTAGAGGTGAAATTGTTCCCATTGAGCTCCATCGATGACATGTTAATTTACTTGGCGGAGTCAAACCTTCTGTCCAAAGTCAAAAGTTTGGTCAATCAGTGTGTTTTTAGCTGTTTCCTGAGCTGCTCCTCATTGTGTTTTGGTTCACATGTCATCGCTCGGCTGAAGGCTCAAAGCTGCTCTCAGGCTCGACCTCTGACACAAACAGCAGTGTGGCTACCAAAGATTTCAGTAGAACTGTTCCAATGCACCAATTACAGAAGCTCTACTTGAGTGATACAATTATTTTTTCTTTTTAGAGCACTATACATTTTCTTTTTAGGTATTGTTTTCAGTGTCAGTCAACGTATTAAGTCTTGATTATCTGCTGTATGTTGTGTTTGTAGTCCTGTTTGTTCACACATTTTGAATCATGAACAAATTAGTTTAGTTTTCAACGCAGATGAAGGAGTCGTTTGTTGAATTTCTGCAAAAGACACGGCAAACTAGGCCTTTTTTGTGACTTTTCTTTTACTTCATTTTAAAAGTTCAAAGTAAAGTAGCAGACTGTAAATGCGCACTTGTTTTTACCCCTTATTCTAAGATTTATTTTTTGAGCTTTTAGCCATCATTTTGATAGGACAGTGGATAGAGCAGGAAATTGGCGCGTGAGGGAGTGTGGAAGGACGTGCAGGGAAAGGAGCAACAGGTCCGACTTGAACCTGGGCCGTCTGCTTTAAGGGCTATAGCCTCTGTACATGAGGTGCGACGTAACCGCCAGGCCATCTGCGCCCCACCCTTTACCCATCTGATAACCTCTCCTGGTGCAGGGAGTTTCCCAATAGTGCATTTCAATATAGAAAAGGAAACAAAGTATAAATAAATAATGAAAGGGATCGAGCACTGTTGAGCAATTTTTTTTCTTTTTCAAGTTCCAAGCAGGGCACTTTTAGATTTTCACTTAGCTACTTGAATTAAATAGATCTTTAAAAAGTATTCAATCACTGTCTTTAAATTTGATGTTGTATAGATTTATAAATGTGAACATATACTGTATATTCCAGTGTTCTCAAGTTAAAAACTGACAAACGAAAGTGACTGCACAGCTTTCTATAGCAAATTTCAGTAGATTGTAATTTGCACTCATAATAAGGAGAATACGTGTTGTTTCTTCCTCCTCCAGCTGCTCTGCCCTCTGCCATCCTGACTCTGATGTTCTCTCCGTACCAAAGAGGAATCTACTGCGATGACGAAAGCATCAGCTACCCCTACAGGAGAGACACCATCTCCCATGGAGGCATGGCTGCCGTCACCATCATCTGCTCCATTGTCATTGTGAGTCAAAACATCTGAGCATCTTTGTTGCACGCTGAAAAAAAAAAAAAAAAAGCCTTCATGATGTCTCCTCTGTCTGTTCCACAGATCACTACAGGAGAGGCCTACCTCGTGCACACAAAGCGTCTGCACTCCAACTCCCAGTTCAACCAGTACTTGTCCGCTCTTTACAAGGTGGTGGGCACCTTCCTTTTTGGAGCAGCCGTCAGCCAATCACTGACCGACCTGGCCAAGTTCACTATCGGTCGACCCCGTCCAAACTTCTTATCCGTTTGCAATCCAGTCAGCTGTAACGGATACATGCTGCATATCAACTGTACTGGCAACCCTCGCAATGTGACTGAATCAAGGTGAGAGTGCTGAACATGCTGCCCCTCTCTGTCTTAAGTTTGTAAATCAGGTCATATTTTTATATTTAGGTCATATTTTACATTCACATACATACATTTTTAACTTTTAGCAGTGCTTTTGGTTGAGTACAAAATGTTTTATTGTCACTAAACTTTTTGAAATGAAAAAATGTAAAGATAAAAATAATAAATGTAAAATGATAAATTCCCAGAGCTCAAGTCATGTTGATGAACTAACAAACAAAAGCCCAAGAACATCAAATGTGCTTTCTTTTCAATCAGAATAGAACAGCAGATATTTTCATTTTTTGATACACTTTATTCTGAGCAAAATGTACAGAGAACATCATCTGGCCCTGTTGTAAAATTGTTTTATAGAGTTGTCCACATTTTTGGCACAAAGCCAATTTGCTCAAGTACTGTTTTAACTTATACTTAACTTTGACTTATAGTCAATGCCCCAAAACATAAAGTATGAAGTGAAATGATGTGTAGAAAAAAAGAAAGTTTTCACATTCAAGAATGAGCACCAAATACTCAATTCACAATGAATATTTAACATGTTAAGTTTGGCTCAGGCTGGCTCAGTTTTGGAGCTCAGGACATGACTTATCTTCATGGTGAGGTTATAGCAATCCCCTTTGTTGGAATTATGTGTTCCCTTATTGATACAATATAGATAATGAATCTTAATTATAGATCATTTAAAAGGAATCTCATTGAAAGTGATCAAGAAACTGATGAATAGATTTGAGTTATCCTTGATAACTTATCACCATTCTTTATAAACAAAAAAAAATGACCCATGTCCTGCTGCTGTTTTCACTCCTCAGGTTATCATTCTATTCGGGCCACTCGTCCTTTGGGATGTATTGCATGCTCTTTCTGTCGGTGAGTATGTGGTTAGTTATCGTTGTTGTGTGAGACGTTCTGTGTCTGTGAAATGCCGTGTTTACCAAAAACACCCACAAGTTACTGAAAACAGGAGTGTGTGGGTGTGGGTGGGTGTGGGTGTGTGTGGGGGCGGGGGGGGCTGAGCTGATGTTTGAAAACATCATTGTTGTAATAAGACACACTGAACAATAGTCGGAACATGATCGCTCCAGTTATATAAAACTTTATAGAATCCTCAGTTTTATTTCTGTTCTGTACCTGACCTCCCTGCTCTTTGCGGAGGAGTGTCTCTGTTCCTTTAAAAGAGAGAAAAAAAATCCTATAAAGGTGAGACATGTTGTCATTACTGCTAGTTTGTATGATTCCCCACAAAAGTACAGTTCAATTCTACATCAGTGTTGGTTTATTGTAATATCAATACTGTTCCAGATATGTCTCATAAAAGAAATACATTTAAACAGTGACTGTTTACCTCAGAACTATTTCTCTTATAATACATTTACAGATGTCTTTTTTTTTCTTTTTTTAAAGATTTATTTTGGGGCTTTTTATGCCTTTTATTGTAGAGACAGGACAGTAGATAGATTTGAACCCGGGCCGCCCGCTTTGAGGACTAAAGCCTCAAGAGGCTAGGCTACCGGCGCCCCCACAGATCTTTAATGTGTCTCTTACTAATAAGTGGGGAAAAAACACATTTTGATCTCATCTAGACTCATTTTATGTTTTGTTTAGTAAATTTGAAGAAAAAATGAAACCTGTCGTGGTTATGTATGAATAAAGCTTGAATTTCTTTGTGTGAGAACATACAAAACAAAAACATACATTTTTATGCTTTTGCTGTCAAAGCACTTTGTTAACCTGTGATTTTAAAGGTGCAATATGAATAATGTTATTATTATTATTTTATCTGAGATGACAATAGAAAAACTTTGTATCGGACTGCTAAGCCCCTAAGTGTCTTAACTATTTGCTCATACTGTATATAAACACTAAATGTATACACAATCATTTGAAAGCTTTTTGTCAAAGCAGAGACTTTAGATACCAGTTGATCTTAAACATGGATGTGTTGTTGTGTGTTTGCAGTTTTATGTTCAGGCCCGGATGCAGGGGAAGTGGACACGACTGGTCCGTCCGACCATCCAGTTCTTCCTGGTGGCGTTTTCTCTCTATGTTGGATACACACGAGTGTCTGACTACAAACATCACTGGAGCGACGTGCTCGTGGGTCTGCTGCAGGGGGCGCTCATCGCTGTGCTCACTGTGAGTGTCCGTAACATTTTATGTGATGATAGCTGCCTAAGGACAAATCCTAGTCCTGGTTTCTGAAGCTCTTTGACTTTTCAAAGGTTATGTTGCAGTTGTTAATTTTTTCAAACTTAGGTCTTAGTGTGTCTTGTAGGATGTTGTTATTATGATCTGTTCTTCCTGTAAACTGTTAGTAATCCAAAGGGAATGCTTTACACTCTGACTCCGTGTGATCTCGTAATAGGATGACTCCCTCAAAACGCTCACTAGCAGCTGAGTCATTTGAAATTACCAACCCTCAATACCACAAATGATTTCATGATGTCCAAAATGTTTTGGTTTAGCAGCAGGAAGTCGTCTCCAACAGCGAAAGGGGTTAGTAACGGTGGGAAAGTGGAATTTGTGAATATCATGAAACATGACTTACCGGTATGAAGACCTAATGAACGACTCACAAACAGTGCAGAAGCGAACGGTTAATAAGTCCATTGTCTCCCATGAATTCCCACACAACAATTAACATGCTGAGCAGGGCAATGAGTGTGACTGCTGTCGGATGGGGCCCCACTAGGGAGGTCTCCTACTGTCATTGCAAAATTTGCGCCTTCTGAGTTACTGCTGTGCTTTAAAGTTTGTCAGCCCTCGGGGGGGGGGGGGGGGGGGCCTGAGTGGCCTGGGGCCCCTAGCAGTTGCCTGTCTTGCCTGTTGACAACCGGCGCCTCTGCTGCTCCCAGTCTGTGGAAGATCTACAGTTTAATAGCAGAACTGCTCTTTTTATTGAAAATGTTAAATCCTTTTAAGACTCACCTCTCTCACCTTTTGTACAAGTTGAGCTTGATATTATGACATTTTATCCTGCTCTAATATGTGTTTTTATTCATCATTTTATTCGTATATGTTGTTTTTGATTTAGCTTTAAGACATGTACAGCACTTCGGTCAACTGAGGTTGTTTTAAAAAATGTGCCATATGACTAATCTTTAACTTGGCTGCGGTAGAACGTAACAGAGGGCTATGATACAATTCAATGTAGAAGTTTTTCTTGACTTTCATTGTCCCTCTTGGATGGAGAAGCAATGAAAAAAATGTGTCATCTTTTCCATCTCATCTGTGTTTTTAAAAAAGATGTTGCACTTAGTTTTTTATACGTTTATTTGTAAATTAGTCCGGTGCGCGCTGTAAATACTTTTAATTTTCTCTCCACTGACTTTCACTTTTCTTCTTCTGTCCTTTTCAGGTTCGATATGCGTCCGACTTCTTCAAAAATCGCCCCCCTCGCTGCACACGACAAGACACGGCAGAGGTTGAACACCTGGAGCGCAAACCGAGCCCGCAGCCTCCCGACTCGCAGCACGGAAACCACTACAGCTACTCTGGACCTGTATGAGCTCCTCACGCACAGCTGCTTTTTTTTTTACTAACCTCCACTATCTAACAGCAGCTCCTTACCAAAGAACTGTGACTTGTACAGACAACTTCAACAAACACAAAACGGCAAAAACCACTACCTGGTGATCCTGACGAGACCTTCTCCCCACAAGTTTTACAGCTATGAAAACGTTCAGATTCCCAAAACCTGTTGGAACAGAAGCTCCAACGTCTCTGTGTCTTTTTTAGTCAGGGCGTGTGATGCCAAAATATGTGAGTGATTTTGTTGTGTGTTTTTTTAGAGTACATGTGTAGCATGTTGTCTACAATTATATCTATTTTATGATTTTTTTTTTTTTTTTCTTTTTTAAATCTGTGGTTTGAAAAGAGTTTCAGATTTGATGCTGTGAGTTAAACTGAAAAGTGAAAGCAAAGCCTGCTAAAGAGATCTGTAAATAAAATAAAAACACCAACCAAAGATTTCTTTGTGTCATTGGCTGGAGTGACAAAAACCTTTTTCGAGGCTGAATGTCTCAAAGACACTGGAGCTAAAGTATATCCGCCATGTTGTTTTTCTCTGCATGTGTCTGTATTTTTACTTTCCTTAAAAGATGTGCATGTGTAATGATGATGGATTGCTTTAATGATATACATGAATATGTATAGTACTAACATTTTTATCATGTCTGTAACTACTGTATCAAATAAATTGTGTAGCCTTGTTTTTTTTGCTGTGATGTTAAAGTGCAACTTTTTGAGCTGGCGACAAAGTTCTGGAAATTTGACATCTTCTGTTTATGATCAATTTCATTCAACTAATCGTTGAAAATGGAACGATTATGTTTATCCCTTTTAAGCATTTTTTTTGAGGTTTTTGTATCAAGTGTGGAGAAATTTCAAGTCTGACTGACACAAACCCCAACACACATTCCTGGACCTCTTCCTCTCCTCCTTACAAAAAAACCTTTGTGTAATCTATTATGCAACGCCACATAATGTAATAATTTCCCCCCCTCCGCCTTGTTTCATGTAATTTCTCCTCAATACTAGCCAGCATGTCATCTGAGTGCTTACTTAACTTCAGCAGCCATTAAAAAAAGAAAAGAAATGTAAAGACGTTGTTTAGTGGAAAGAATTCTGATATTTAAGACGTTTTCGTTTTCAGTGACCTATTTCCACGCTGTGTTCTCTGTGAAAACAAGAGCACAACACACTGACGCAGGGTTCATGTCTGGACCTGCTGCTGATGCTTGTGGGATTCCTCAGCGCTAAAAGGAATGAGGCTGTTTGATGATACGTACGAGGTGCTTTAAAATCAGGAAATATCTGTTCACATTTACAACGAATATTATCTAAAGGCCTTGTTTATTTACTGCTCATCTTTAAGGGTTCATTTTGATTCATGTTTGTATCCACCTGATGTACAAAAGTAAATAAACTATTTTAGTGTCCACTTACTCCTGAGAGATTAATCCGGCTCTCTTAGCTATTAAAAACCCACTAAGTTCACTAGCTAATAGTGGCTAACTTTTTCTCTGTAATGTTTTATTTGGTGTTACTGTAAAAGGTAGAGTTGGTTGGAAAAACCTTTCCAGCTAGGAGTGGACAAAAGCCGGGGGGTCATCTTAAACAAAGTTTGGTCCAAAAAACAAAACATGGCGCTGAAAGACACTAAAACACTGTGTTGAACTGGGGAGAAAGGAAATAAAATGTGATTATTCTCCGGGTTCTTTTATACCTTTCGAACAACATAGTATTGGGTGTCCATTGCGTCTCTATAAAATTAGGGCCTGACCATTATGAGATTTTTGGGGCAGATACCGATATCGATATTGGGGAGAGAGAAAAATTTGATGCCGATATCTTTCTTAGATTTATCTTCAAATGGTAGCGATAGACAGATATAGAGGAACACATGTATGGCGTTTATCCCCTTAAATGTAGTTTCGTACACTTGTAGAAAAGATATCCATTTAATCCATATAGCTAACTGTTGGTGAGAGAGAACTGCTAGTGTAATACAGTGAAACTCAACTTCAATGCTATTTGACTGGTGAATAAATCTAGGAATATCCGTTCATATCAGCAATAAATTTAGCCAATACTGATAGAAACTGGACATGCTAATATCGGACGATTGGCTGGTTAATCGTTCGGGCTCTAAAAGAAATATTGATCAGGGAACAGAAGTTCTTAGGTAGTGACTCAACTTGTGAGATATTACTCATCAAAAGAATTTACTGACGCTTGGTTTTTAATCACACTGTGACACACAAATGAATTTCTGCCCTTGAAATGCTAAACTGTATCTGAGTCAACCCTCATACCACAAATGATTTCTTCAAGAACCAGAGAGATGACTAACTGAAAGTTCTTTTTTTATCAGGCTTTCAAAGTTACAATATAGGAGCGTCAATAAGTCAGTGTTGAAAGGAGCTCGTTGTCCTTTCATGTTGCAGTTGTGTCCTTCATGTTGCTTCAGTCTTTTTCTCCACACAGTAACAAATCAAACACAGATAACCCCTCTCAATCACGGCTTTTATTTGTAAGGCACCAGAGAAGCTTCCTTACTGCTAAAAGTTTGATTCATTCTCATTAGAGTACACAGTTTCTTGTTTACATCTTTGATTTTTTTTTTTTTTGCCCCAGGTATCTTAAAATGAGACTGTGTTCATTAGCACATTAAACTGGTTTTGTTTTGCACAAAAAAAAAAGGGTCAAACATTTACAAACCTAGAAACAATGTTAAGTGTTACTGCCTACTGGGACTATGGGAGAGAAAACAGGAAAAACGACATGGTATACAACATTGTGCCTCTCGTAATTGTAGGCGTTTAAAGCACACATACAACACCGAATCTTTCATGATACACACACGTTAAAAAGCAGCTTTGAAACATACAAAAATGCTTTAAAAAATATGTATATTGATATATTCATATGTATACAAATTGGCCCTTCACAGCAAAAACAAACACACATACCATTCATATGTCTGAGATTTGCCAAAGGAGGTTTTTCAACAGAGACTGACGTCAGCATCAAGAGTTCTCACACTCGATACATCAAGGTCAAATCTCCAGGGAGGGGGGGGGGGCAAATATTCAGGTCCCCAAAAACAAGCACAGCAAATTAAAAAAAAAAGAGAGGAAAAAAAGAGAGCACTCAGCCAGAACTTAAGTGCTTTTCAAATTAAAAATAGAGGGGGAAAGGAAGGCTGAAGCTCTGATCTGGGACATGCACAGACTTTAAAAGCTCTGCACAGCACTCACATTATAGTGGAGTCACAGCTGAGGCCTGCAGCGTACGGAGGCTCAGCCTACAGACTGGAGAAGAAGATGGAAAGAGATCAGCAGTGACCTGAGGTGAAGAGAAGAATGAGCTGGACCATCTCTGAACACTCAGTAGACGTCAGGATTGTGAATGTAACTTTAAACTGATGATGGATAAGAGAGCACTGCTGCCCTCTGATGGATGAAGTATGAATCTCCAAACTAATGTTTTAACTGCATCCAAACTCCACACTACAGACTAACCACATGAGAGATACAGTGACCTGTTCATTTAATATTGAAGAAATTTAAATACTTAGACTAAATGGAATCTTTGCCTATTTCTATATCATCATTTTTATACACCAGTCACTCCTGAAGGGCGGTAGATTGTGTAACAGCATGTTGCTGAAACAGTCTTTTCTATATTTTTCCAGGCCAACGTATTATTTGAGATGAACATCAGACAGTTAAAATAAAGACCTTACTTAAAAAAAAAATCTGAAACAATACTTACACACGTTCAGGACAAGATCAGCAAAGAGATAAATTGTCCTGCTTTGTTCACAGGGGTCGTAAATATCTGCTCAGGAGATTTAGACTGAACTGGCGCTCAATTGTCATCATCATCAAATTCATTAACTCAAATTATTCACCATGTAGTTTGTTTGAAAGTTTTGAAAGAATTCAAAAAAATGGGGATTACAATGCTTTCAGACAGTGTCCCCTGAAATCGTTCTCACCTCCTACTGACTAAACATGGAACTGCGTGTAAATCTTTTTAAGGCTTTACTTCAACTGAGAGGACCAACATGTAGAACATTCAAATAAGACTGATTATTATATATTTTAATCATAGAATGTGATAAGGGCTACTATAGGTGTGTTTTAATGTTTCCTTGTAACAGCTGCTAGAGCCTTTTAGATGTTTGTACTGTAGTGTGGAATCGGAGCACAGCTTTGATTTGATCATCTCTACATGTGAAACCAGGAGAATTGTTGTGCAACAGGAGATGATTATGTGATCATTGGCAAAAAAATTGTGAGTGTAAGGATCATGTCTGATGTCTTTTCATCATGTCTGAGGGAACATTTTTGACATTGCTTAAAGAGGTCTGTGTAGCTTCTCAGTCATCCAGGTCAGGGTCAATCAAAGCTTAATCCAAAGGAACTGGGCATGTTGGAAGATCTTGAATTTTAAGGTCTTGAAAAACGTCCAGCAGAGAAAACAAGTCCAGTTGTCTTTGGATTAATCTTTGATTGCTTAAAGAGCTTTAGCAACTCCCCACTGACACACTCTTCATTAAAACAATGTGGAGAGGAATAAAGAGAGGATTTCAATCCCACACAAAGACAGGAAAATGTAAAAAAAAAACGGCGCATGACCTGAAGCGTGCTAACGTGCAGAGATACGGTACTCCTACAAGTTTAGATCGTCTGGTTCTGAATTTGGACCCTGTTCTAGTTTGAAAATGTCAATTTTAAGAAAGGGTGAGGGAGGGGCGTGAGCAGGTGGTGGGGTGAAAATATAAAAGGTGCCTTATAAAAAAACAAAAGTCTAATTACACAAGTGTTTCCTTCTCTCTGATCACATTCAGCACACACACACATTTCGGATGTCTAATTAGCCTCTAACTTTGTGAAAACAACATGTTCAAATGAAGCCAAATTTCCTTAGAGTTTAAATTCTCGTCATTTAAAGCGAGTCCATGCACATGGTCCATGCCACGTAGCGCCCCTAGTTGCAGCAGCAGCAGCTCGGCCTTTGACACACAAAAAAAACTCTTAAAGACGAGTGTACTACCGTTTATAATTGTAAGTTTTTAATATAATCTAATCCCATTTTTGGGGGGGACTGAGGTACACAGTTAAAGGTAACGCATCCAGCAGTTGGCCTTAAGAGACAAAGAGTGAAACCTCAGGTGGGTTATGTTTGAAGCATTCGAATGAACCTGACATGTAAAATGTCCCTTTAAAAACATCCAGAATTAATTCAGACAACCAGTCAACATTTTTCATTTTGGAGAAAAGGTGATGGGAGCTTTTTGAAGGTAATCAGAGGAGAGGAAGGAGTCAGAGGGAGCTGCTTACAGTGGCAGACACAAAACAACCAGATTGACTAAATAAGGACATTAAAAAAAAAAAATCTGATAAGAAAAAAAAGAATAAGAAACCTGTGTGAGGCAGATGCATGTAAGGGGCACTGCTGTTTACTGTCATCTTCAGCTCTCACTCTGAATGGGGAAACATTATCGTAGTTAAGCCTACCAACAGTGGCTTACACTAAAAAAAAAAAAAAAAAAAAAAAAAAAGCATCTATTTTAAGTCTAGAAGCCTGAATTGAGTCTATTACCACTAAAAATAAGAACATTTAACTCTCACTCTCCATTCAGCAGTTTTCTTTGTCTGTTCATCCAAAAAGTTTGAACTCTGCTTGTCATCATCCCTGCAGTTACTCTTCTTCATCATCAACAGACAGGCAGCCAGTCTTACATCAATCTCCATTTATAGTTAAAGTTTAACCTTTCTTTTCCTGACACTTTCCACGCTCCCCCTCTCAAACCTTCATCTCGTGTTGACTCTAGTCTGACTTGTCCCCGTCCTCTCCTCGTGGTGCTCTCTCCGCAGCTTCCCGGGCCTTGTCCTCCTTCGCCACCTGGGCCTGGCTGTGTGAGTAGTTGGCCAGGATGGAGGAGAGGGAGAGCAGGCCGGAGCTGGAGGAGACGGCGGGCAGGGAGGGAGGGGTGAGGCCCAGGGGCAGCGGGGTCACAGGCAGGGCCAGCCCCTGCAGCTGGGACAGGTGTTGCACCTGGAGCTGTTGCTGTAAAGACACGCGGCACAAACACGGTGAATTGCTGAACAGCTTCTGCTTTGCACTTTTCAATTACTAAGTCACAACTCAGAAAACTTAATGACTGAATGCATGGTGCTATTTGTAAAAAAAAAAGATTCCCCATTGCACTGCCTTGGATGTGTTTTATCCTGTTAATCTACAGGCTGCCTGTTTTATGACTTGACAAATGAACAATTTGAAGAAATTGTCAAAGGACAACAAATGAACAGTTAGCTAACCTGCACAGTTCTTGTTTAAAATAAAGGGCTTTTCCAAACATAAACATAATGTGTAGTATTGTATAGAATATAGATTTTGACGAGGGGACTATTTGTGGCCTTACGTTTAACTT